GTCAGGAACAATCATAACAAAGATTTCTAAAAGTTGAAGTCAAACGACAAGGGTCAAATTTTTTGCAGACTAGATTATGAAGGAAAGTGATACTTCCTCAGGCTTTTGGTGTCCTGAAATGTTGAGTGGCTGCTTTTTATGTAATTTTTACATGAATAAGACTGATCTGGAAAAAAAAATTCTGCCAGGAAACCATGCTGTAAATTGGTGGAGCCAATCAGAACATGAAATGACCCACCCAAATACTGTATCAGAATACACAGAGGTACTAAAGATACAGTATGATAATTCTTAGAACCAGTAAGAAATTATCAAGAGTAACTGTAAGTATAGATAATAGTAAATATAAATACTTCTATGTTTGGGTTGCATGCTGAAGCTTTTTAAATTGGAAAAAGACTGAATGGCAAAAAGGCACAAAAGCAGATTGCCTACACTGTATCTAATGATAATGAAAGGAGAAGCTACTGTAATGCATATATATAAGGAGTTAAATTAGGATTACTGGGAGTATTTTAATCTTAATCTATTGTCATTTTCATAATTAAAATGTCATCTAAAACATTAACATATTTTTTGCATATGTTGCATCTGTCACCGTGTAGAAGTCCAAGGTATCAGAATTGCTGCAATAATAAGTGAGATGCATACTGATTTAGTTCTCGAAGTGCATATGTCTTTTATCTTCTTTCTGCTTAACTGAAACAGTTGTCCAGTAAGCAAATAGATTTCTTTGTAGTCTGGTAGTCTGTTCAAAGAAAAGAAGTCAATAATTCCCATTTCTGGCTAAAGAATGTAGCAATGTTAGAAGGAAGAAATATGTCGTTATTCATCTGCTCTCTTATAAATGATTTTTTCTTTTCCTTTATAAAACATTTCAGGTACTGGAGGTACAGTGAAGAAATGAGATCCATGGACCCTGGTTATCCCAAACCAATCACAATATGGAAAGGTATCCCAGAATCTCCTCAGGGAGCCTTTGTCCACAAAGAAAATGGTATGCAAACACATTCCTGTTCTAATGATTTACTAACACCTTTTATGTGAGATAGAGTAGTAAAGTGGTGATTGACTATTCAGGTTGAATAAGGAAGGAATTCTTGATTTATGATCACAATATTTCCTGCTATAGAACTTGCTATTGTGGAAATGGCTGTTTGCATGTACTTTCTAACACAACGGACAACAATCTTTCAAATTTAGTATCATAAACCTCAATTTACTTTTTTTTTCTTATGTCTTAATTTACTTAATTATTTTTGTTCTCTGCTGAATTCTAATACCTCTTAAAGCAAGCTTCCTAAACACAATATATTCCTATTTGAAATGTCAAGGTGTTGGCTGTTTAAACAGCTTAGAAGGTATTATTTTTATTCTGAACAACTAGAAAAGGGAAGCAAAACCTTTATCTAAGCAGAAATATCCCTAGGAATCTATGTAAATCAAAGGTGTCGTAAGCCCATGATGCAGAAATGCAGACCACAGGGATGTTAGTCCGAAATGCTATTACCTGTATCAAGATGCATCATCACATACAGGAAACTAGAATCTCAGCTGGTTTCACCTCCAAATGAATGAAAGCAGCCCAAATCTCCATCTTACAAGAATTCGGTGCTTCCTAGGGTCTGCTGGCAGGCTGCCAACAGAGTCCTCAGTTGCTCAGAGTTTAAATCTCTTTGACAGGAATAAAAACATGCATTTGTCATCACTTATCCATGTTGGAGAATTGTTGTGTGGCATATATGATTTATTTATTAGTAGGTTCTGTTTATTATGTTTGCTTTACAGACAGTACACATATATTGGCGTTTTATTTTAATTTCCTTTTAATAAGCAGATGAAAATATTTCTGTCCTTGTATAAATCATTTCAGTCTCATATGTCAACTTATAACTTGATTAAGTAATTTACCATGGAAATGTTTGGGGAGGTTTTTTGGGATTTTGTGGGGTTTTTTTCAGAAATATGTTTAATTGCTTCCTTGCTTTGTCTCTGTTCTATCCAGAAGCAGAAACCCTCTCTGGATTCTTGCCTTTTGGATAGACTGAATTTTTTTGTGTTGTATTTATTTGTTTTGGTTTTGTTTTAACTGGAAAGTAGGTCAATAACGATGATACCCTGCACACATCACACTCAATAACTAACTGTTTGTAAACGCACATATATGTCAAAACAGACACAAACATGGATACAACCTCTGCTTTCTTCCCTTCATTGTGTTCAAGTATATTTTCAAAGAGTTACATCTGAAAGAAATTTAACATATATATATATATATGTATGTATGTATTTCTTACCTTAACTGGATTCTCCATAATAAGTTTTCTGTACTGAGCTCAGGTACATGTGTGTCTCATTACAAATTAAAATTATCTTACTGTAACACTCAGACCAGTGTTTTTGAAAGCACTACAGAAGCAGAACACTCACTGGTAAGGCAGGAAAGACTTTTGACTACAGCAAAGCCTCTTCTCTTTTTTACCCCAGTGGCTTTGATAGGCTGGCTGACTCTTTTAATTAGGGGGGGGGG